ATGGAGGCCAGAGCGTCCTAGGTTGCTAAGAGCGGGATGCTCCAGTTGGCGTCCTGCCCAGCTCCTGGCTCATTAGTGACGCCAATGAACTGGGCAGGATGCCGAACAGAGCCGGTGTTCTGTCCAGATCTCCAACTCGTGACGTCACATCCATTGTAGATTTCGACTTGATGGCACTAGTGCGCGTGCGCCAGCCGTCAATTTTTGCAATCCTCGTTGACTTCTCCACTTGCCGTAGGTGCGGCTCGGTTTCGAATTTGTCATTGAGTTTCTCCAACTACCGTCACTTGTGGCATCGGGTGCCCGCGCAAGCGCACTGCCTCAGATTGTGCAGCTTGATCCTTCTCTTGAGTGGCTGCTCAGGCGCACTGATTGATGGGAGTTGGAGAATTTGATAGAACACCGGAGCCAGTGGTATCCTGCATCCCCTCCCCACCTCTATTCAAGCTTTGTACAAGTCATTCTGAATTGAGAAAGCTGATTGGATGACCGGTGAAACGTCTTCAAGAAAAAACACAGCAAGTCCAGTTGCCTTGACCTTTTTTTTTACAGATATCCCATGACCTGAATGAATGAGAACCTTCACAGACAATCCACAAAGTCGGATAGAAGTGACAATTTGAGGACCGATCAGCTGTTCCAGGGCAGATCGGTTCTCCTGCACATACCATCTGCGATGCCGATCTGCCCTGGAACAGCTCAGAAACTGTTGGAATGCTTCACCTTTTGCCGGTCACATGTGCCACCGCCAAAAAACAGGGCGGGATCACCTGCAGCAGACTGATCACTGGGGGAGGGGAGACTGAGGAAATGCTTGCTCCTGCCTAGTCAGAGTCACTGGACTGATGTACACGGACTAATGTGTAATGATAAACGGAAGAGATTGTTTGAAAAATGATATCCTCGCTGTTTATTGTGACGTCTGAAATGTATTCATAAAGATTTGTAGAATTACTGAAAGGTCCTCTTTATTATTTGTTTTTGCCAAACGATGTAGAAAAAAAAAAAACAGACATAAAAAAATCAAATAAGTTTGTTTCCCTAATCTGAGATTTTACTCTAGTTGTATAAAAGGGACCGCCCACCCAAAAAGGATATTTCAAGATTTGGGTTTATGCTAATTGCCTGACTCTCCCTCAGGTGTCTCTTTTATCTCCTGTAGACCAGCCTTTCACAGCCAGGGTGTCATGGAACCCCTAGGGTGCCTTCTGGCTTCCTAAAGGGCACCTTGATATCTTCTGGCCTGTCCTCCCACCTTCTAGCATGCTCCCGCAGCTCAGGCTCCTGGTGTGTTGGTAGGATTCTGATGTAAAGGGGGGTCCTGATTTAAGGGGGGCCTGCGATGTAAAGGGGGAAACCCCTACTTTCTGTGTGTTTTTGCATGGGGTTGCCCCCTTAAAGTCCATACATTTCAGACTGGGGTGCCTCGAGATGTGGCATCATTTTAAAGGGTCCGGTCACGTAAAAAAACATTGAGAAAGATTGCTTAAAGGTGCCCATACACTGTACGATTCTCGTACGACAATGGCGGGAAATCCCACGATCGTACGAGAATTGTGCAGTATATGGAAGGCGTGCGACCGTTTCTACTGTACGGTCGCACGTCTTCCGTCGAACCAGCAGGCTAGAAAACCCGCCGGGAATCGTACGATTCTCGGCGAGTTAGTGGCCTGCTAGTTCGACAACTGCCGAACAGGCCCGTTTGCAGTCATCTTAAGCCCGCCCCTCAGTGCAGTCATCGTAAGCCCACCCCCCAGGGGGGCAGGCTTGCGTTGATCGCAAGTACGATCTGCCTGTCCAAGAAGACGTTTTTTTAATTACTTTACAACCCTCGCAAGACAAAAGTCTTGCGAGGGTTGTAAAGTGTATGGGCACCTATAGACTTTGGCGGTGAGATCTGTGTACCTATCCTGTTGACCTGACACCTATTATGAGACAGTCTCTCTCTCCCCCTCTCTCTCGATCTCTCTCGTGTCTCTCTCTCTCTAGATCTCTCTACCTTGTCTCTCTCTCCCGCTTCTCTCGATCTCTCTCCCTCTAGATTTCTCTCAATTTCTCTCTCCATCTCGATCTCTCCTTCTCAATCTCTTTCTCTCTCTCTCTCTCTATATATATATATCTCTAGATCTCTCTCTCTCTATATATATATATCTCTAGATCTCTCTCTCTCTATATATATATATATCTAGATCTCTCTCTCTCTCTAGATCTCTCTCTCTCTAGAACTCTCTCTCTCTATATATATATATATCTCTCTCTCTCTCTAGATCTCTCTAGATCTCTCTCTCTCTCTATATATATATATCTCTCTCTCTCTCTAGATCTCTCTAGATCTCTCTCTCTCTAGAACTCTCTCTAGATCTCTCTCTCTCTAGATCTCTCTCTCTCTCTATATATATATATATCTCTCTCTCTCTCTAGATCTCTCTAGATCTCTCTCTCTCTAGAACTCTCTCTAGATCTCTCTCTCTCTAGATCTCTCTCTCTCTCTCTAGATCTCTCTCTCTCTCTAGATATCTCTCTCTCTCTCTCTCTCTCTAGATCTCTCTCTCTCTCTCTAGATCTCTCTCTCTCTAGATCTCTCTCTCTCTCTAGAACTCTCTCTCTCTCTCTCTAGAACTCTCTCTCTCTCTCTCGATCTCTCTCTCTCTCTCTCTCTCTAGATCTCTCTCTCTCTAGAACTCTCTCTCTCTCTAGATCTCTCTCTCTTATATATATATATAATCGATCTCTTTCTCTCTCCACCTCTCTCTCTCTCCATCTCTCGCTCTCTCCATCTCTCTCTCTCGAAAGCAGCGCCTGATACTCTGCCAGCAGAGAGATCGCACCGCATGAATCTTCAAGATACAAGAAGGGCCATCTGAGGTTAAAGAAGAACTCCAGGCAATTAAAAAAAAATAACCCATGCAGTGGCACTACCCCTGCACTGTAAGGGTTAACTGCTTGTTTTGGTCTAGAGGTGAAAAAGTCACCTGATCCTCGGTCCTGCAGCAGTGATGGCTCAGCTCTCTCCCCCTCCGCTCTGGCTGGGGAATCTCTGCCAGTGTCAATGGACTTGTATTACACGGAATGACGTCAGCAGGACATAGACCGCCGGAGCCTGGGAAAGAGGAGGCCGCAGGGACCGGTCTAGCAGCCCGATGGGACTGAGGATCAGGTGAGTATATCTTTTTTATTTTAGACAGAGTAAAACGAGCAGTTAACCCTTGCAGTGTGGGGGCAGCGCCATTGCAAGAGTTAATTGTTTAACTGCTCGCAGTTCTGAAGGCTGAACTTTAGGTAAATGGCTGAATACACCCATCAAACATAGATATGGGAGATGTTTTACTTGCCAAACAATTTGTATTTTGGTCCATCCAGTCCTGAGATTTGCACGGTCCTACCACACAGCACAGCCCTGCCTGTCAGGGGAGGAGTCCTGATCTTTCTCTATTGCAGGATCACCTACAGTTCTCCATTCCACCCCCAGCCTGTGACTGGAAGGTGAAAGGAGAAGCAGCAGAATGATGAGCTCATCTCTCTGTCACTCTGCTCTCTCCGCCTATTAGCATGCCCCTTGCCCTTGTGCTGCTTCTTCCTCTCCCAGTCTGAGCTCTTCTGTACAGTGGCTACAAGAGCTGATACCAAGTCAAATTTAGGTTCTTCCACTGCATGCAAATACATCGAATGACATCATAATGAAAGCAGAACGGCATTATTGTGTATTTTCCATCTGCCTGGAGTTCAGCATTAAAGGAGAACTATGAGGTGAGTGAAAATAACTCATCCTCATAGTTCTAGCCAACCTGTGACAATGAAACTGTCACAGGTCGGCTCAATAGATCGGGAAGTGAGCGAACGCATACCGCCGCTCGCTCACTTCTCGATCATCTCCCTGCAGAGAGCCGTGACTGCCACTCACCGCTCCCTGCAGGGATTCCCCCCTCCCCTGTCCGATCCTCCAGCGCTGACTGGCAGAACGGACGGGGGAGGGGGCGGGTACAGCTGGCTCTGCCTCTAGATAGGCAGAGCCCACTGTCACTCAGGCAGCTGGGTGGATCCAGACAGTAATGTCGGGATCCGTCCCGGTTGCGGCGTCTCAGTATACCGCAAGCTGTAGTTTGTGTCCTCCTGTGACCCTGGGGAGAACTATGGGGGGAAGCACTGACCCAATAGTTCCCCTTTAAGTTCTCTAGGATCCATTACTGAAATATCAGGTTCGGTTGGCCTGTCCCACTCACTGGCTGATTTTGGTCCTGGTACATGAGAATTTTATCATATGTGTAATATGTATATATAAAAATGTGTTGTTGGCCCAATCATCCTAACATAGAGGCAGGACAGGAAGTGACCAGGGCTGCAGCTAACGATTATCTACATAATCGATTAGTTGACCAATTATTTTTTTCGATTAATCTGATACAATAAAAAAAAATTACAAGATACACAAATGCCGCGTTACAGGCAAAGTTTTACTTCAGAATAAAACTATGCACATTTTTAAAAATCGCACTCCACTGGAGCGCAGGTCATTGCAGTACCGCACGTTCTAGTGTGGACAATCACATTGCGGACGGGAGGTGCATTTCGTATCTATTGAAAATGAATGGCACTGCAATGCACCTCCTGCAGTCGGGGGGTAGTACGGGAATGCAGTCACAGCGGTCTCTCTGCCCTGCTGGTGCCAACTGCAGGACTGCAGTGGTCTGTGTCCCCGCTGCCTCTGACGATACAGGTGGGGAGAGCAGCAGGGATTGAAATGGACACAGACCGCTGCAGCCAGCACCAGCGGGGAGGAGAAAGCAGAAGCAGAGGGGCGGCAACTAATCGAAAAATCCACTAATCGATGATGAGAATTGTTGCCAACGATTCTCATTATCGATTTAATCGATTAGTTGTTGCAGCGCTAGAAGTGACACAGTCCAATGTATATTAATTTGTCTTTCCTGTAGCCTAAAATTCAGTGACATCTTCTCTGTCCTCCTGGGAGGCCGCGAGCCGTCATTACAATTACAGATAATTCATTTTCCGTCTTGTACAAATTTTTTAGTTCCTTCCCGGACGTTGGTGATGAGGCCGATAATGTTGCTGGGTAATGCCGATTCCACCAAAGCTCGTGGTAGAAGACCACCAAGTTCTGTTTGTATGAAGACCACAAGCTTGGAATGTGCCGGATTCCTGCATATAGAAAATGGACGATAAAACACAATTCGTAATTCAGCATAAGACGCAATAAAAACAATTCCACATTTTGCGGCATTGTATGACCATTTTATGATGTGAAGTTTCTCTACGTCTTTGGTGTTCCATCATTTGATGACCATGTCTTCTACAGATTTGTGGACTCCCCTCTAGTGACTACCTATCAGGGAAACAGTCCTACTAAAGGAACAGTGTGATAATAAGAAATCGCTGACCTCTCCGTCTGGAAGTGCGAGTTGCCTCGCTGTTCCAATGGCTTCATAGAACCAGCCCATCGAACTGATGGGTCATTAGGAATGAGTGAGATGCAGGAGGGACTGGATAAGCTTCCGCACACATTGTGGACACGTTTTGCCCATGAGAAAGACTTGGCCTACCACTACACAGGCTATCCCCCCTTGGGTCTATCATGAATGCTGCTGCCAGACTCATCCACCTTACCAACCGCTCAGTGTCTGCCGCCCCTCTTTGTGAATCCATCCACTGGCTCCCAATTGCCCAATGAATACAATTCAAAATACTTACAACAACATATAAAGCCATCCACAACTCCGCCCCCAACTACATCTCCAACCTCATCTCAAAATATCACCCAAACCGTCCTCTCCGCTCCTCTCAAGACCTCCTGCTCTCTAGCTCCCTCATCACTCCCACAGTAGTCGAAACTTATCCTGATATCGGAACTTCCTGTCAGAGGAAGATTTTCTCTGACCGGCAGTGCCGTAGGGGAACATGAAGCCAGCTTCCAGGAAGCTGGGGGCGAGTAATGACCACCTCCCAGCTCCATGCTGATTGGCTGGAAAGCCAGTTTCCCGGCCAAACAACGTGGAGCCAGCTTCCCGGCCAATCGGAAAGTGGGGCGGTATGTCATTACCCACCACCCAGCTTCCTGATTGCCCGGGAAGCCGGCTCATGCCAGAAGAAGCACCGGTATCAGTACTCGGTATCGGTGACTGGCCCAAATGCTCCATTTTCGGCACTGATACCAATACTAGTATTAGTATTGGTGCATCCCTATCAATTACTATGCGGGACTGGTGGTCATGGTGATGTTAGAATGCCTCCACGTGATGGAACATCACAGAGAATTGACTTTGGGGACTGGTTGCACGTAGAGGAGGAAGTCTGCGGGGGTGAGGTCTAAGATAAGTAAAAACTGCATTTAAAGCCCTAGACAAAAACAAGCATTGAGCCCTCGCAATGCGGCGGCGGGAGAGGGAAGTCTTCTGCAAGGCAGTTTGAATTTGTCCCTGGAGTTCAGCTTTAAGATAGCACCTGGTGATCCTGCCATGAAGGTCCTTGTTACATGGTGACAACACTCTGTCCATGTCCCTCAGTTGTACTCCTGCATTGTCACAGGTTTTTTACTGGAGACTACAAGTGGTAGTTTCAATGCACGTTGCACAGTCACGGCCCACTGCCGTCACCATCAGAAAACACGTCCTGAGAAATACAATGCAGCATCACTGGAGTACGTGTGGACAGAAAGTTGCTGCAAAGAGGCTGCCGGAGATTGGTAGCACTGAATTGCAACAGTGGATAAAAAAAGGTGACAAGAAGTATTGTGTTTTAAAAAAAATCGATTTCTTATGACGCACAAAATAAATGTTGTTCAGTTACGGTTTACTTTTCAAAATGAAGCCTGGGTTACTTACTCGGGCAGCGGAGAACATATATATCCACATGGGTTGTTGAAGCCTCGAATGCGATCGGAAGTCACCGGGCATTTTTCATACTCAAGACTCACAGCTGGAGGAAATAGAAATAAAGGCTCATTAAAAAAATATTGAACAAACATTTTCACCTTCAGGTTGCACTGACCATTTTCTGCCACTAGAGGGCGCTCACAACCCACAGAGGCGGGCTGTGTGATAATACCGTTCCTAGAAAAAGTATTCACCCCCTTGGAAGTTTCCATATTCCATTATCAAAGAACATTGAGCCATAGTGGATGAATGATTGATTTTGTCTTTTGTTCTTTTCTTTTGCCGGTCGACAGAAACAGATTTTTCATGGCAAGGAAGATCTTTGCAAAGTGATTTCAATTAACGTAGATCTAAAACCCCTCGGAGCTTGAACCCCTTAACCGCTTGATGACACCCCCTTCCTGGCCAGGCCATTTTTCAGTATTCAGCGCTGCGGTACTTTGACTGACATTTATTCCGTCACGCAACGCTGTACTGAAATACATTTTATACCATTTTTTGGGGACAGATAGAGCTTTCTGTTGGTGGTATGGAATCACTACCGGGGGTTTTTATTTTTTACTATATTTAGGAAAGATTACTGAAAATTTTGAAAAGTTTAAGTTTTTTTTAACATTATGCTAGGAAACAATTATTATTACCCAATTGTTTGGTAAAAGTTAAAAGACGGGGTCACGTCGGGTAAATAGACACCAAACATGTCAAGCTTAAAAATTGCGCGCACCGCCAAAAACTACCTCACCCAAAATTGACAATTGGCGACTCTTTAAAAGCTTTTACCGCTCATCAGTGTAGTGTTATCAGTGATTGATGGCCCTAGAATTATTGCTCTCACTGCGACATTTGCGGCGATATGTAACATGTGCGGCGTAATCGGTGCAATCGTCGTTTTCGCAGGTATGCGCACCGGACACATGTTTGCATGCGTGTATGTATGGGTGGGGACTTTTTTTTAAAAAAATTGTTTTTTTAAATTCTTTTTTTATATGTGTAACTTTAAATTTTGTTTTTGGAAACTTTTTTTCCTATTTTTTTTTTCCCACTCAACTTTATTGCTATCACATAGGGGGCTAAGAACCCCCCCCCACCCCCCATGTGATAGCAAAAGATGTGACAGGTCCAAAGACCCCTAATGTCACCTAGGACCCCCCAAAAGAAGCTGATGAAGCACAGATCTGCTTCATCAGCTTCTCTCCAGCGTCTGAAGCTGGAGAGTGACACAAGAATGTGGAAGTGATGTATTATACACCACTTCCACATTCTGACAGCGGACCGGAGGGAGATCGTGTACCGACCTCACTCTGATCCCCTGTCAGAGAGGCACTATGCTGCTCCCGGACTCGCACCGGGCACAGCGGAGCCCGGGACCAGCGTGACAACATGAGAGGGGGCCGTGGAAGGGGGCACACGGGCCGGCAGCTCATACAAGCGTTCCGCCGGCTCTATAGCCCGCGGATCGCTTCTATGTTAACAGGCATCGCTGCCTGTTTTTACATTTTCTGTCTTTCCCACTCGCGCGCACCACACACGATTGGGCGTGGCTTAGGGGACGTCTAAAGACGCCCGCTCAGATCTAGAGAGCTCACGACCGGCAGTTTTTTATCAACGGCCGGCCGGGAGGTAGTTAATGACTGAGACCTTTTTTTTTTTCGTTTTTTGCACCCATGTTATAATCCACATTTTAGGCCTGAAAATTACTTCAAAACCCCAAAAAGCATTATGTATTTTCTGAAAGCCAACACCCTGTAGAATAAAATGGCGGCAGTTGCAAATTATTATCAAACCCAAAAATGTAGTGAAAAATGCACTTAACGTAAATTTAGTGCCCCAAAACACAATAAAATACCCATTTTGTAAAATAAAAGATGAGGTTACAACGAGTAAATAGATACCCAACATGCCCAGGTTAAAAATTGTGTGTGTCTGAAACGGAGACAAAATTCAGAACCCCAAAAAGTCCATAGTGGATGCTCTAAAAGTCCCCACAGGTCATAAGTTTTGAGATGCACATAAATATTGGCCCTAGAATTATGGCCCTCACTCCGGCGTGCGCATCGATACCCAACATGTGTAGCGCGATCATTGTTTTGTACGTAGGCTGTTTTGGCTGACGCATAGGGGCGGGTGACGCATCCCTCTACAGCCAGCTCTCCTGGGTTCCGCTGTCCTCAATGCAGGTCTCTGTGGCTGGATTCGGAGAGGAGATCAGCACAGTCCACCCACTAATCTCCCCTCAAATCACTGAATGCGGAAGTTATGTAATTCCATTCAGTGTTTAGTGTCAGGGTGTTTTAGGTAGCATTAGTTTGTACCCCCACTACGGGTACAAACAACAAATAATGTACACATACGTGGTATCGCCATGAACGCCAGGAGTAGCGAAATTCCCCAATACAAGAAGGTCCCTTAAATGTATCTTAAACAACACAAAGTCAAATGCATTACGGCCACTAGATGGAGCTGAGGAGCATAGAAAATCAATATTTATATATTATGCTCCTTTAGTGCCATCTGGTGGCCATAATCCGTTATTACACTCAGAACATTTACATGTAATTACACTTGTAAAGGATAAAACTATAGAAGATTCGTTTGTGCAGATATTGGCCCGGTATTCATATTCACACAAATTTAAAAAAATTAACCACTACTTAGTTTCAAGGATATGTACAGTTTTAGTAACACAAGCCAAAGCTGCAAAACGGGGTCCAGGCGTTAAGCTTTGTTTTACCCTCTGTCTTTAATGGGTTTGAAAACAAAAACACACTCACAGTTAGTGGTGACGACTCCTCCGTCATACCTCCTAATGTGTATCAGATCCACAAATTCTCGTGATGAAATAAGACCCATACCGTAACTGTGAGTGATGGTATGACCGATCACGGTGTCCTAGAATAAGAAAACTTTATTAGAACAATAATATAGTAATACAGGCAGTCCCTGAGTAACAAACATCGGACTTACATACGACTCCTACTTACAAACGGAGGCTATTACCAGGGCCGGCCTTAGGCCTTTAGGCGCCCTGTGCGAGAAAGCTTTACAGCGCCCCTTTGAGAGAAGCCGCCCCCAGGACGAGCTGTGTCGGCCGCACTGCGCCCTTGTTGCCATGGCGCCCTGTGCGGCCGCACTGCTCGCACACCCCTAAGGCCGGCCCTGGCTATTACTGTACAGCAGAGGTAGTTGTAATGCTCCCGCGCTCGTACTGACGAGTAGTGCCCGCTTTTTTTGGTCTGATTGGAGTACTGTACGTACATTACAGGAAGTTGGCTCTTGTTAGACGTGCAGACGAGGGTTGCCCGCCTCTTCTTCCGGGTCATTGTGAGGTTTTTACTGCTGTCTGTATCCTCATTAGAAAGATTTAATCCCACTTCCTGTCCTTGAGACAACAGGAAGTGAGAGGAAATCTACCCCTAGGAAGGCAAATTCACTCCTGTAAGAGTGATCATGGGAAAAAGGTGTCTCCACTGAAGCTTTATCACCAATCCTTGTTTCCACGACGACCCAAAATTTTCAAAATCTAATTGTCACAGGGACAGAAAGTGAGGTGAAATCTTCTGAACAGGGGCACACACAACAAAACAAACGTTACAGGGGGTAAACCCTTCCCTATGCTATCCAAAACTAAAAAAAAAAAAATTGGGGGGCTGGAGTTATACTTAAAAAATGTACCTGTTCCGACTTGCATACAAATTCAACTAAATAACAAACCTACAGTCCTTATCTTGTTTGTAACCCGGGGACTGCTTGTATATCGTTCACAGTTCAGATAAAACTGATCTGACTAACATTAGTGTAGTAACATTAAAGGGTAACTCCAATCCCAATGAAGGGAAGGGGAAGGAGTTTACAAATATGGGATAGGTTAAGGATGCAGAGAAGAGGTAGCTCACAATTGGTATGGTGAACAGCATCTGCCGGACTGAATGAATGTGCAACATTCTCTGCACAACAGGAAGTCTAGAGCCAAGACTTCCCATGTCAAATGATATAGCCAATGATGACTTGACAAAATGCCCATCGGGGGCTCTTAAAGGCTAAGTTTACCTTTGTGACCATGTTTTATGTTACACCCATATTGGTTTTATGTTTCACCCTACCTTACCTGAATCGCGGGGTGCTTCTCCCCACCTGTATACATTTGAATCTGGCACGGCTGTGTGTGGCTTCACCTGCACAGCCACGTCATCCATTTACAGATCCATTCACTGAGTCTGTGAATGAAAAGACTACAAGCTCCATCTGCCACTGCAGCAGAGGGACTCATAGATCTCAATGAAGCACAAGAGTGGTGATGTCAGCCACTTGTAGTGCATTGATTGCTTCCTCCAGCCCAATTTGAGAAGGTCTGGTCCATACCTGCATACGGACTGGGGGCTGGGGGAATAGTCTGCAAGAGCTTGTGCAATGCACCCACGATCCAATGATCGCAGTTAGCAATGCAAATACACAAAAATCAATGAATGCACATTTTTTTTGATCGACGTGGGAGCATTTATTATTATTTTTTGCAATAGGTGGGCTATGCCTTTAACCCATTTATGATCACAAAACAGAATAAATGGTCACCAGCACTCCAGGTTTTCTTCAATACGAAATCCTTTTATTCATTCTAGTAGGTCATATCACTATGCGTGGCAACGTTTCGGAACCTGTCCGGTCCCTTCATGAGGCAAAACATCACTTTTGCACAGTGACCATTTATTCTGTTTTGTAAGTATTTGGCTGCGCCATAAGTGGCCACTTTGGCACCCCCCAGCTCCCCACAATATATGGGGCTTCTCGGTAAGGAGTGCGGTGTGACTCTCTATTTGACCATTTATTATCACAGACCCTCAATGGATTGCCTAGTATCAGGGCTGTCAATTTAGCCATAAAACTTTGGGGACACCCAGTTTTGAGGGTCCTTTTCTGGGTCTCCCGACACTTGAGATAAATCTCCAAGCATTTTGTAGAGACTCCTGAGTACAATTACTACCAGTAAAACACTTCATGACAAACAACAAAACAAAATACAGGCCCATCGTGGGCCAGAAATTGGCTGAGCAGCATGTCAAGCTATTATCCAATTGTAGATGCCCCACATATTCATGTCATCCCCATGCCATTATGTGCCAGCAAGGCTTTACACATGCATGCAAACTTGGAACATGAACAAATCTTTTGACTGGTTGAGCGCAGGGGACTATGTAATATACCTGCATATGGATGTGCTTAGAGAGACATTACATTAGTGTGATAGGAGGAGAAATAACTCACTATTTCTGCCTTCTTTATTGTATTATTTGTGGGGGAACACATGCACTGTGATGGCCTACTTTTTTAAATCTGCCTGGCATTTTGCGGCTGTCTCCAATCACTGCCGTGCAGCTAAGGCTGTGCTTATGCAGTGATTGTAGACAGCCGCAGATTGCCAGATTGATAGTTAAAAATCTAATGATTAGATTATTATTTTATTATTCAGAGAGCCAAAAGTCCCATGCCCCCATGATTTGGTACCCACAACCCCAAGGGCTATGCTTATTCTCAGTTGTGAACCAACCCAACCACTATCCCACCTCAACCTAACCACTGAACCATCACCTTCTCAAACAATTCATCTCCACACAGCGACCTCCTCATGTATCACTTGCCCCTCCCTTTTAGATTGTAAGCCCTCAGGGGCAGGGCCCTTTTTACCATCGTGTCTTGAATAATATTGTGATTATAATATCTTCCATATATTGTAAAGCGTGGCGCAAACTGTTGGCACTATATCAATCTTATATAATAATAATACCCTCTGGCCTACAGAAAAAACAATCTGAGCTCAGGTAGGAAATAAGGCAGAATCTGAAGGGAGGGAAGAGTC